CATCATGTGGATGGCTGGGTGCGTTTGCATCACTTGCCTGGGGAAGAGAATGCACCAGGATGTACTATGGGAAGAAGGCAAGCTGGCAGAAGCAATGTGATGCTGGGAAACCTTGGGTTCTGCCATTTAAGTGGATATTAAATTTGACACTTACCACCTATTTAAACATTGTTGCAGACCAAGTACACCTTGGTGGCAGCAGTATTCCCTGATGGCAGTGGCCTCTGTCAGTAGGATAATGCACCCTGCCTTAAGAATGGTTTGAGGAACATGACAATGTTTTGCCTCACCCTCACCAATGGGTACAAGGTGTTGACTTGGTCTCCTAATTCCCCAGATCGCAGTCCAATCAAACATCTATGGGATGTGGTGGACAAACAAGTCTGATCCATGGGAGCCCCACCTCACAAATTAAAGGACTTAAAGGATCTGCTGCTGATGTCTTGGTGCCAGATACCAGAGGACACCTTCAGAGGTCTTCTGGAGTCCATGCCTCGATAGGTCAAAGCTGTTTAGGCAGCAAAAGGGGCACCTGCGCAATATTAAACAGGTGGTCATAATGTTATGGCTGATCAGCGTATCACCATCAGAAGGCACATTAAGTGGAAGTTTTGATACCCTTTTACTTCATATGGAGAGATTTTACAACTTTACACTTGAGATTGTTACAGCATGAGGACTAAATGAAGAATAAAAAATAAAACATTTCTTGTAAATTTAGATTTTGTCCATTTAAAAACCTCTGGTGTCAGTGCACAAGTGTTGCTCTCTCCAACTTGAAAATCTTTTGCATAAACTATAAAATGCAAAAGTCATTATAATAGCTGATCATGGTAGCTCATACTGTTTTTTTTAATAATCATGCAGCCTTAAAATTGCTTTTGTGTAAGCTTTAAATACTCTAACTTAACCCACACTTCCTCAGTGGATAACCCCCCGCCCCCGCCAATTGCCCAGCTGGCAAAGAGTCTGAGCTGCGGTTGCTCTCTTTTTTTAATTCTCCCTCCCTCTCTGCTCAAGTGTTAGGGCCTCCCTCCAACTTTGTGAGGTCGGAGCCCGTGCCCATAAACATGCTGCGTCCTTGGTCCAGTTGGCTCTTCTTGTACGTGAGGCGGAAGGCTTCCATGAACTCATCAATGTCAATGCTACTGTCCTGGTTACCATCAATGGTGATGGCCAGGTCTGAGATGGCTTTGTCTGTAATCTCCAACTTTAGGTAGATGCTCAGCAGCTTCCAGGTCTGCCGAAAGTCCTCAATTGTGATTAAAGATGCAGGCTAGAAAAGAAGATATTATAGAGTAAAGGGATGCACTATAAAAAGTGCAGAGGTGGGGGATGAAGAGACCACTAGATCAGTGGGTTAATCCTCATTTTAAATGGGAGGCTCCAGTGACCTGACATGCTACAGGTGAATTAGTAGAAGCTGAACTCTGTAGACATCTCTATGTGGACAAACAAACCCTTTACAATCTTACATCTTCTCCAAGTACCAGTCCCTAGTTTCATTACAGTTTGTCACGTTAAATCCTGTTCTCTTTCTCATGTTTTCTTTCAATTTTAGCATTTGTCTCACATATTTTTCACAACTTCTTGTTTACTATCGTAGCTACCAAGATGGCCGACACACCCCACAATCTAACACACGTTTCTAAACCCTATAGTTCTAAACATTAGCAGCAGTACATTGAGTTGGCTACTGTCTTCTCAGGTAAGAAATTGAAATTAATAGCACTAATTATATTTGTGACATTTTAAGTTAGCAGCATGTCTAAACATTTATACACACGTTCTACAACCTTGTTAGACTGTTTCCTTCAAATATTGGGTAACTTTAATAATTACCTAACTAGATAAATTAGTTAAGTTATCTACAACAACATGACAGAATTTGTTTGCAAGGCTGTTCAAGTCATTAAAAGTAGTAATTTGCTGACAAATCCTGCTGTTAATCACCTGTTTGGAACTGATTGACCCCTCACTGTCACAAGTCTCCTGAAACAGACTCTCTCTCCTTACACTAAGGCAGCATTTCTTGAAGTTGTTGATCAGTAAGAAAAATACATTAGCAAATAACAGTATAGACCCACAAACATAAGATAAAGAGACATTTACCTTTAAGAAACGAGAGCAAATGATGTTCTTGATGAAAAAGAGAAAGAAGCTACTATGTTCCCAGGTGATATGTAATTTGTTTCAGTGATGAATAGTTTATTTTACCTGAGTTGTCTGTGTCTACAATTCTGAAGATTGTCTCCACTGTGGAGCGGTGGCGATACAAAGTCTCAAGCAGACTCTGGTCAATGTGCTGCAAGAGGATAAATAATGAAAACCAGGTGAGAAAAGCCATGATGGGGGGCATTTATCTCATGTCTCATTCAGCAAAAGATATGTATGTACAATATTGTTAAATTTAATCAAAGTGTCATAATCGGACACTATTATTTCTGTAACCATCATCCATCTCTAACTCAGTGCTGCGTCCTTACATCTGTGTTGGGTCCTTTGATGGCAAGCTCGTTGAACCAGTTGTAGTAGTCTACCCTGCCGTCACTGGTCTTGCAGGTGACCAGCTGAAAACGCAGCATCTTCCAGGGCAGATCGAGGTCCATCACACTCTCCACTGCAGTGGCCCAGTCGTTCAGAGACACAAGACCTAATGCCAGTAGAAAGAGAGGAATGTAACACTACTTTCTGAGGAGTAGATACTAGTTATCTGGTACACCAGTAGCATTTGAGGCTCATAATCTTAGATTTCAGCCAAATTTTCATCCATTGTATTAATTTATCCAAATAGTCCCACCATGTCAATGAGCACTCCATAAATCAACTCCCAAAACATGCAAAGTAGAGCCCACCCAATACACTGTCTAGGCTGAAAATAGGCTAGTGGTTAAGGCGCAGTGCTCTCGCCACTGCGCCCTGGGTTCAAATCAGGGTTGCGTCAGGAAGGGCATCCAGCGTAAAACACATGCCAAATGTCAACATGCGAGTCGTCAGTGTGATGATTCACTGTGGCGACCCCTAAACGGGAAAAGCCGAAAGTGACTTTCTTTAGTATTATTGCTTTATTGATATCAGCATGTCAGCTAATAAATTACAAGAAAATGAGATATTTCCATATTTTCTTATTATATACTTGCAAAATAAGGATGCTGGCTAAATAACAGTTTCTGCTGAAGTTTCTGTGAAACTGTCAAATGTTCTGGAGCAGACTTCAGGTCAGCCCTCTTATTGTTTTTTTCCTGAATGGGGATTATTATGTTCCACACAAAACACAAAGGTTTGGCTTCACATTTCTTCAAGGCAGACATTGTCCTTTGGCAACAAGGGAAAAAATAAGCCTCGTGAGGTCTATGATTTAAATTACATAACAGCTGGTCCACTGAGGATACAGTATGTTCATGAAACGTATACTACACACACCAGTATTCTCACTGTCAAACTCTTTGAAAGCACCGATGAGATCTGACTTGTGCACAAACAACTGTTCCCGCAGGACTTTAAGAGCTGAGCGCTTGGTTCTCGCAGCACTGCAGATGAGACGACAGCAAATGCCACAGATAAACAGAATATTAATTTAACTTTGTTGTAATGCTTTGTCTTATGACAAATAAAAATCAACCCAAATCACTGATTCACAACGTTGAGACGAATCATTCTCAATACATTTCTGTATACCTTTGTCTCACAGTGAGCTCTCTGGTCATGCTGCTGGCCTGGTACTGAATCACATAAGGCACAAGGTCTGGACCCAGCTTCAAGTAGGCCCCCCTGTTGCTTCCCACATTGTAGTAATTGGAGGCGGAGAACAAAGTGAGGACCTCATAGGAAGATTTTAATGCATTTTTAACAGCTCCTCAGGGTGGAATACAAGAGGAATTACTTAGAACCACATCAGTGATCTTAGTAGGACTTTTAACTTCTGTCACACTGATTGATTTAGTTGTAGGATCATTGAGCTCTGAGATTATGCATCTCTGTGGGCCGTCAGTGTCTGAGCTCACCTTGCGGTTGTGGCAGAACTCATAACCCTCCTGTTTACACTCATGGGAGCGGATGATGAGCTGCAGGTTGTGTCTGTTCAGGAAGTCCTCTGTGACGTTGGGGCCCCAGTAGCAGCCTCCACCCCTCACCTCGTTGGGTATACAGCCTTCTTGACTCATCGGGTCACTCCACAGCAGGTCCAGGATCTGGATGCAAATTCTCATGTCAATAAATTGCAGCCCTAAGGTATTGTGCTGTACAGTGCTTTTTTATTGTGTATGTAAAGCTGGAAAAATCTGGTGATACAACAAAAATGCAAAAGGAAATCAGTAACAACTGTAGCGCTGTGTAATAGAGCTGAGCATGAAAAATCTTGAACCTGGAAACAGTCATGGTCTCCCTCAGTAGAAGATGAAGCTAGTAAGTGGGTCTTGAGGTAAGTCTAATTTACTTGCAGAGGATAGAATCATCAAAAATTTAAAATAAGAATGAAATATGACAATGTACTGATGAAATATAAGAATTTAGGAAGCAACATTTTGCAGGTTTTTGTTAGTGTCATAAAGACCAACTTTTTATGGAAATCTGACAAATGTCTGGTAAAACAATTGTGTATCTTCTCTTTTTTTATCTGTCCTGTCAGTGCCTCTACACACTGACCACAAAACAATGTAATGAAGTAGTAATTAGTAAGTAATTGGAAAAGATTACGGAGTCAGTTAAACTCACCAAGAGTGCCTAGTTTTTACCAGATGTCTAAACATGTACTGTATGTACAGTATTGTGCAAAGGTCTTAGGCCACCATTAGATTTGTTGTTTTAGCAATGTTTTGATGACTATATACAGTATTTATTTATCAGAATAGAACCAGAAAACATAGGAAACATACACAGTATTAAAAAACACAAAAATGTCAGAGAAGCAGCAAACAAACTGGCTACTCAAGAGGAATCTGGATAGGTCAAGGACAAAAACAGGAGTGGAAGACCAAGAAAACTGTTCATCTCTGACTAGATGTTTCTTTGAGAGGCCAGAGGAAATCCAGAAGGGACCTGGGTCAACATCTGCATTTGTTCACACATCCATGAAAAGATCAGATCTAAGTCACTTGGAGGGAAGAAATTGGATTCGAGTCACTTCAGCATGTAGTTTGTATCAGAGTAATTGAGCAAACCCCTACATCACCTGTTTCCACTCATCGTTGGCAGAGTCTGTGATCACTGACGGAGCCATGTCTTTTTCTGATTTATTGTAAGTGGACTGCCTCCTCCTGCAGATCTCCAGCTTGTCCTCCACCTTCACTTTGATCCGGCGAGAAAAGTCCTGCAGTGAGTGGTTCTGGAAGCTGTCGTCGGCTCCCAGAGGTTTGGGGTACGTGAGGGAGGCCCTACGCTGGAAGAACCTGTTTCCCCATCCATTTCTGAGTCAATGGATGCCCCAGCTGATCTCTGATGTCTCTTCTTTGGAGGCCTCAGCGCTGAAACATACTGGGAGAAACAGAGGACAGCAGACATTTGAAGGACTTTGAAAGTAATTGATAAAAATGACTGTAGGAGTATTTGTTTATCACAGTGACATGATTCCTCACCCTGTGTCTGTCCACTCTGGCGAGGATACTGAGGTCTGTGGCGTCAGAGATCCCACCGTGGAGGACTAGCACCTTCTAATCGATCACTCACCAACGGCAACCAACTAAAAATCTTCTGCAGCAGCTTCAGGATCCGTTTGCCGTGCATCTGAGGAGAAACACAAACAGGAAATTATTTTATTCATCCATCTTCTTTTTAAGTTCTATGCCAGTTTGTTGTCAATATTTCAAGCATAAGGCAGGTCATTTTATATATATATATATATATCATGTATTCATAGTAACGACTGTGAATCCAGAACCTAGTTTAGCTTATTCGTCTGCGCCGTAGACCTCAATGTTGTCTAAATACTGTTGTCTTTTATGTTGACTGTCCAGTTTTTATTTATTTCTGTTCTTATTGTACTCTGTAGATACATTTTTATCCCAGTTAAGGGTGTTTTGATCAGTTCTTGACTATGTCTTTGATAGGACGTAACACTTTGTGGCTCCAATATAAAATCTTATCTCAGATTGTGAATTTGGTGCCTGATGAATATCTGTAAATCCAAATTTCAATTAAGTTAGTGCTGATAGTAATTCAAATTTTCTTGTATGAAAAATTGTGAAACATTTGGGAGATCTGAGGTTACTTCTATGGGTCTTTGGACCACCTCAGCCTCCCTGACTCATCAGAAGCCAGCAGAGTGATCTGGTTTAATGACCTCAAATCCTCGAGGAGGTGTGACCAGTTGTGGACTTTGATGGAACCTGCCTCTATGAAGCTCTATTGTGGCTGAAACCACCTTAAGCTGCTGCTCCGAATACAGCAGTGATAAGGGTTTGATACTAAACAGTAAACAAAAGGATTGTGTTGAGGACTGTGCGGTGTCAATACACCTACCTTGTATTTGTTGAGCACCTCCTTTGTGAAGCCGTACCTTCATCAGTCATAGAAACAGAAGAACACAAGAGTTACACCTGCTGAATTTGGACAACAGTGTGCTTCACAGTTGGATTTTACCTCAGGTTCACTATATGGTCCTCGTGGTTTCCTCTGTTGAGGTAGACGTCACTTGGATAAATGCAAACAGGATTAGGAGGATATCAATGGAGTCTTTGCCTCGGTCTACAAAGTCTGTTAAATACATAGGGCTTTTCCAAGGACGGCATGCCGTTCTGTAAACAGCAACATAAGGCAGGGTTAAAGGTCATTCTGTAATGTAAACAATGGTCAGCCACAGCACAGACCGTGAAAACACTGGATTACAGACCCCGCTTCAGTCACTAATTTACTTTTAGAGCCCTTAAAAATAAGGCACGTTGCAAATAAACGTCTCCTCACTGTAGGGTTCAATCCCCACCTTCTCCAGTCCTCATATGAAAGTGTCTTTGAGCAAGACACTGAACCCCAAGTTGCTCTCGTGATGTCACTGGCATATAAGTGAGAGAATGTTTGTGTGTGAATGAATGAGTGCACATCAATGTGCACAAACCCCTAAGACCATTTACTATTTAAGACCTTTTAGAAGGGAAACAGTTTTTGTTATTGAGTTAATCAGAACATAATTGATTGGGAACAATTCTGATAACCAGTTTAATCATTCAAGTTATTTAATATAGAAAAATGTCAAACACTGCCTGAGTTTAGCTTCTCAAACGTAAGAATTTGTTGTTTCTTTAAATGAGACTTTCTGGGCTGGTTGAACAAGACACTGGAAGCCACCAACTTAGGTTTTAAGGACTTGTGATTGTTTTGTAAGTGTTTCTTAATACTTTAATTTCATAATTTTGTAAAGCAAGCAATCAAATAAATGAAATAAATCCTCTGATTATTTAATGATGGAAGTAATTATTAGTTGCAAACACACTGTTTTATTTTTGGGCTGTGAAATACTGAAAGAATATTTTGAGTACAGTAATAACATAAAAAAAAAAAAGACTTTCTCTGGACAACACTTTAAAATTAATAAACTCAGCACACAAAGTACAAAAACCAAGGACATCCTAAGATGTGTCTCTAAGTCCAGGTTATTTTAGAATTTATGAAATTTAAACACTTTAGAATAAGTCCCGACCTTGTAGAAAATCAACAGCAAGTCTTCCAGTTGCCCATGCAAATCACCTGGAATGAAGAGGATATAAATGTAAGTAAATTAACAAGAATCACTATAAAAACTTTATATATTTCTGTCTGGACATGGTTCAGCTTTTACAACAAAGAGATTCTGGCTCTAAAATAAATTTTCAAGACTTTTGTTTCAAGATGCAGTAAACTACCAACATCTTTTGGGATGTTGAGGTGCCCCAAGATTAGAGCTGCACCAAACAATTTGTTGTATTATCAGTTAGTCATTCAATGACTTGTACTAAAAATATCATTTTTTTTAAGTGTAAAAGAATTTTGGTTTTAAAAAAGAATCAGAAGTTACCAGAGCACCGTTTGATGTGTACTGTATATGTCATGGTTTGTCCAACAAAAAGTCTGTTTACTAACAGGAGATTAAGTAGACCAGTGAATATTCACAATATAGAAGCAGGAACCTGAAAATTTTAAAATACTAAAATGATTAATTGATTATGTTTCTGGTTAATCTTTTGTTGTTGTTTCAGGTCAATTCATGTCAATTCCTGTTGCATTGTCATTCCTCAGCAGTCCACTAGATGACGTCACACTTTCCCTGCTGTTCCCCTCGCTTGATCTTCTCCACCCACTCACACACCTGTTTCCACTTTCCTCATTATTCAGGCTGCATTTAAACTTGTCTGTCTCATCTGTTATGTGTTTCTAATGGTTTACTGCACATGTTGCAGACTCTTGTTATTGCCCCCTTGTGTCTGTCCTGCTGCACCCTGCTTTTGTTCCTGCCTGTCTGTAAGTCTTTTTCAGAGTCATTAAAACCTCTTCACTGCGTCTGATTGTGTGTCTGTATTTGGTGCTCCACACACCAGCGCTGACAGTTTAAGATGCCTATTATGTTATCAGTGTTCCCAGTTCATGTTTGGCTAAGGACTTTTGTTGCATATTGTCCCTGATTGCTCCACCTTGATTTCTTGTCACCTCTCTGCTAGAGGCAAAAATCAATAATCAAACAATCAATGATTTTTTTTTTCAGCTCACCACAAATAGTGATTTCTTTGCTTTGGCAGGTGGAGACACGGTTGATATTTGGCAACATCTGGAGCAGTTTCCATGTCTCTAGCAGGAGCTGTAGGATGTAGCGCGAGTGCAGCTGCTACTGGGAGAGAAACTTCTTAGCAAGAAGGTTTTAGGACAAACACATGTACAGGCAGTCACACTGCAGTATCTGATAGCAGCTGTGATGTATGCACACAAGCTTTCTGTCCTGCACAGAACTTGATAAAACAACAATAAACTATCAATACATTTTAAGTAAAGTTTGCTTTATAGTATAATAATGGACATATTAGGTAACACCAAATAAGTAAAAAAGGAAATGTCAGAAATTCTGAAGTAAAATTATGATAAATTACCAATTAGCAACACTGGTGTCATTTGAGTAGAAAAACATTTACATGCCACAGTTAATTTGTTTTGTTGGAAATTCAGGTCCGCACAAAAAAACTGAGGCGACAATGCAGACTCCTTCAGCACATAAACACTATTGTAGTTGTCCATTTTATACAGATTAGCGTTATCTCTTGTAAGAGATACTTATTGAGACCTTATAATATGAGTTATCTTATCAACAGTACAATAAATCAGCTTTTTAACTGCAAGGTTTATATCTTGTTATAGTTCTTTGTTCTTACACTAATACCAAAAGAATTCGGTGTGACACCTTTTAAATAGCACATAAGCACTGTAATCACAACACAATTTATATTTTTAGTTATTTGCATGTCTTAGAAATTCTCTTTAAAATGCATGTCAGAAAATGACTTGCAGTATCAATTTATTGCTGACATATCCAGAAGCAATAAGACATTGGCACCAGAAAAAAGTGGCTTTAGCAGTACTGAGTAACTAAGAAATTAATACAATCCTGGATAAATTTGTGGTATAAAACCTCCTCAGTACAAACCATTATTAGAGACTGCTATGTGTGGAGAGCCCCACACTCCCAATGTCAAGTGCTCTGACTGGGCAAACAACAGTACACACACCAAAAACCTTGGCAATGAAAACAGACGGCACACATCTGATGCCAGGTGGAGTTGACTGTCTGCTGCTCAACAGCAATGTGATGAGTTATTGGCCAAATGCCAGTTTGTTCATAGTTGATAGCAGATACTATTTCTCTTAAAGAGGTCACTGTGAACAAAGTGGATTACTTTCTGCAGCATAAATTTGGGAGTCTGCCTTTTGAAAAACACTTAAGTGCCTCTGTGCCCACCTGCTACATAGCATACTGTTATTTTTTTTAACCAAACCACAATCAAAAATAAGATTTAACATGGCGTTTTTTTTACTTGCTGTGTCTGTTATTCAGAGAGTATGGTACCTGGTCAAGAAGAAGCTTTCAGGATCTTGAGCATCTTTCTGAGAGGGCCACTAAACAGCAGGAGTCATCAAGACGGTGCCATAAAGTTGGACTTGTACAACGGAGTAAACGTAACTAATGTAATCCACTGACAAGGAACTGAGCAGTATGTTGAAGAGAACAGGTATGTGCTCAGTCTGATTATCACCTGAATGAAATGCTGTGGCATTATATTAACCTGCAAAATTGTTTTGTTTTTCTGGTTTTGCATCTATCCAAGGTTGCACCACCATTTTTATCCACCTGAAACACCACTGGATGTATCTGTGTGTATGTAATGGTCAATAATGAGAATCTACAGTAAAGAAATGCAAAATAGATGCGTGATCACTTAGAAACTCTCTCAGTTGAATATTTCTACCAGAGAGCTGACAAGCTGATCAAGTGTAAAATGTCGATTTTAATATGTACAGATAGGTGGCAAATAAAAGGAAACCCCTGAGTGGAAATTTTAAAAATACAGGGTCGCTGATTCGTCTGGTGATTATTTTCTTGATCATTTGATTCATCTTTTTAGTCACAGAATGTCAAACATTGGAGGAAAATGCCCATTTAGACTTTCCAGAGTCAAAGGTAGTGGCTTCAAATGTTTTGTACAACCAACAAATGCAAAGACACTCAGTTTATTTTTACAGTATGTCTGACAAAGAAAATTATCAGTTCCTCACATTAAAGATGGTGGAACCAGAAAATGTTGGTGATTACTGCTTCAAAATCATTGCCGGTAATTTTTATTAGTGAACTTGCAGCTCTAGGTTACTGAATGGCTAAATGAGGTTAAAAAGTGCACTGAACACAATAAGGGAATATGTTTTGGAAGAATGATGTTTCCTCCCTTCAACAGAGGAGCAGTGAAGCTGCTCTGGAGACACTTCACTAAAAGATATGTTATTTACTTTCTTACTGTATTTTTTCCTTCATCCATCTCTATCTTGATCAGCATCAGCCTCAAAAATCTAGTATCAGACAGCTATCATTTAAAATGCTGGTGATGTTATGTCCTGTGACATAAAGACAGGAGTTTCATAGCTGATCTTTTTAAGTTCTCCCTATCAGAGTAATACACAACCAGCGGATGTGCTGCAGGCTGGTTAGAAGTGCTGTATTTTTGTGCACCTACTTTCTTGTTCCTGAAGGCCTCCACCAGCCCAACTGCCTGCTCCACCGTCAGGGGGAAGGTGAGGTGAGGTCCTGAGTAAATCTCTGGCACCTCTATGTTTTTATAGCAGAAGTACCTCTCCCACTCTACATCCCGACAAACCTCGTTCTCTTTGAAGATGTGCGAGATCAAATTTCCTGGAAGATGGCAGTTAAAACTCAGAGATTCACTTTCAGAAAAGGAAAAACGCAGCTCGAATTGACCCAGAAAGAAATCTTACGTTCACTGCTTGATGGTGTGAAATTGTCCATGAGGTAGCCAAGGAAATTATAAAGCTGCACAGGGAAGCAAAATGAAAGCTTTATTATTACTCTATAGCAAAAAACTACAGTGGATCGTCTCTGGTCCACTTTCTCACCTTTATCTGAGCTTGTTCTCCAGAGTATTCGATGGACTGGATGATATGCCAAGTGTATCTTCGTCTCATCTCTGCACGGGCGACATACTGATGGTACCACCGCTGAATCAGGATGGCAGCTTTTATGGCTGGAACACAGTGCACAGACCACAGGTACTGCAATAATATTGTGATATTCTGTTGCTCTGTGCTCTTAAACTGAATAAACTATCACAGACAAGAACCAACATAACAAGGGAGAGGTTTAATAGGATTTCTTTATTAAGGAATTATTAATTACCCGAGTATAATTTTAGTTTTATAAAAGTACCTTTGACATGTTTGAAATTTCACCAGTTACAGAATCTTGTGTGCTCATAAAAATATCAGCTGGAGAATCCTGAACTAAACAATCATGGAAACATTAATTTTGGCATTTGTACACTATTTTTGGACAAAACATATGATGTCTATTTGGGAGGTTAACTCTATTTTGTGATGTTTCCTAGACAAAACGGTTAATGTACAGATGAAGAAAATAACCAGCAGACTAACAGATAATGAAAATAATCTGTAGTTGTTTGTGCTTTATTTTTATTTACAAATGAACATCAGGTGAACACTCAAAAAGCCTTTTTTATAAATTGCATGACATTTTTAGTTGCTTAACTTCAGTTTTATCTCACTAAAATATCTAAGATTTATTTATTGTTCAAGTTAGATTTTGCCTCCACATGCCCTGACCCATGTTTGTTTGGTTTGAGCCTCTGTTCGACATGTGGCAAACAATAACACAAAGTAACACACTTGTAACAGCTGCATGCAGCGGAGCAGAAAGACAAAAAGTACAAGCACATTAACAATACTTTGGAGAGATTACAGTTGTAGTGCAAAGAATAAAGTGACTACAAGAGGGACGATGTGGATCAGAAACAGATTGTCTCTTTAGAGAAGTGGTGATGATGATGCCACTCAAGTTATTCATTGAGAGGTATGAAAGTGCCAAACAAGTGCATCTGTCTTCATGTTACTGTCTGCAAGTTACCTTTTCTAGACTGTTTGTGAAACTGGTTGGACTTTGACTCCACATCCCATGATGTTTCCTGTTTGAAACAAACAACAACAAAAAAATTACTACACAAAAGCTGAGAGCAACATGTGGCCCAAAAGCCCCTAACTATGAGTTCTTATCCCACTAGATTCAAAATATGTTTTAATTGTGTTTTTGTTTGTTTTAACTACAGCAAGATGATTTTGATGTTTCTAAATGAAATATTTGGCTTTTTGAAATCAGAAATCTGATTACACATTTACTGATTGCAGGTTCCCAACTTTCCCCAGACATTTTACTGTAAATCCTTCTGGCCCCTTGGAAACTCTTTCATTCACCGAGTGGAAAGTTTAACATGGCTTTGTAGCAGCAGTGGTAGAAGAGCTGAAGCTTTGTTCCCTTTTAATCTTGTTATCTGCTGGTTCACTTCTGACCTCTGTGATTGGCCTCAATCTTGCAGCAAAGGGCTGTTCTTGTCTGAATTCTATGAAGGCTTATAGATTCTGAAATCTGTGGAAGCAGAAAATGTCTTTACAGCCTAGCATAATTTTGATGAAACAGAAAAAATAAAGACATGGAGATGGCATTTTTAAAGATCCTTTTGTTGTTTAAGGTAAATAAATGATGCTTACATTACTGTTTAATCTGAACATGATAGATTTGATCAAATTGTGTTTGCACAAAATGTTCCTGTTTTGCAGCGCTGGCTTTGGCCTACTTAAAAGAACAGATAGGTTGCTATAATCACATGTAAAGATATTCAGGAGCAGGGCAAATTAGAGAAGTTGTGTTGATCAAATCACAAGTTGTTCTGTAACTTAATTACCCAGCCCCGCCCACACCTGACTCTGGGTTTGAGGTCTTTGAGTCAGCATCACTGATTCGAGTTCAGCATCATGGGCGGGGCTGTGTGCTGCGCTGTAATAGGGCAAGGCTGTGGAGCTACTAAATATTCAGTTTTACACTTGGCGAGACATTTAACATTTATATTTAACATTTACATTTACATTTACATTTAACATTTAATATTTAACATTTATATTTAGACTTTGTCACATTTAGCTAAATGTGAGAAAACATGTCACATTCAGTTAAATGTGAGAAAACTAGTGTAAGTGTTATTTTTACATTCGGCGCCCCATAAACGCTGAGGTGTTTGGCAACCGGAAAGATCCAACAGTGCAGCAGCGATGACTTGTGTCTGTCACAACCTTCCATCAGCACAGTGATCGCACAAATTATTGAAGCGCTTTCACAGTCTCATATAGTGACACGGTCTATTTCATTTCTACTGGACGTTCACATTCTGCAGACTCACAAAAGGGCATTCATGGACATAACAGGTTTCCCCGGTGTTGTTGGTGCAATTGATGGGACACACATTCGCATAATCGCACCATCGGAAAATGAAGCCGTTTTTGTGAACAGAAAGAGGTACCACAGCATCAGTACGGTTTTAATTAACTTTAAGATATTTAGCCTATAACAGAAACTTTGCATAAAGTAGCCTGTATTCATGACTATACATATATTTTTTATATACAAACATTATGATTTCACTGTCCATTGTATTATCATATATTTTCGTTTCACTAAGACCACATTTTTGTAAAGACCGTGACAGATTCTTTATTAACCAATCACAGTCCATGATTTTCTGCATCATCCCTAGCAGCGGGGTCAACCACACCTCACTAAGATAAAAGTTTTTGTACTTTCCTTGCTCAGAGTTGCTCTGAGAAGTTTCCTAAATCACTTTTGGTCTACTCCCAGCTAGGACTTTTTAGGCTAAGATAGGAGCTCTCTGAGAGAATTCTAAGATGCTTTGTGCTTTGTGAATACGGGCCCTGATGTTATTCAGGAAGGTAACTAACTGGTCATGCTGGTCCTTGTCCAACTGTAGTGGAGGGACATGCAGCTGCAACACAGAGGGCCTCCTCGGAGCTGCATGCAGAGGAGTCACCAGCAGTGAAAAATATTGCTAAGCAGCTGGATGACCATTTAATAATCAGCTCGTTTTCTGTACACAGCACACATACGCCCTACATCAAAATCATGAATGTTGAGAACAAAGCCATCGTGGGATTTGTAAATAGATAATGCAGTTCATAAAACCATTTTTTAGTCTAAGTAGGTTTTTAGTTTTGCTTTTTGTGATCTAAATATGTGGAATTTTAGTAGAGTAACAGTGGAGTTGGAATTAATGTCTATGAAACTTAAAGGACCAACTGACTAAGACTGGGTATTTTTAGTGCAAATGAAACAAGTGTAACAAACTAACAGCTCACAAAACCGGTATCAAGGTTCAATTCATAATGTGTCTTTATTGTATACTGTTATTAAGGATGTGATTCTGTGGACATCTACTGCATAAAGCTGCATTCTCTCAACACCGGTGTTGATACTGTATATGTCTGAGCCCTTCAAGGTCTTTTTCAGGTTGGTCTCTGTCATGGGTTCAGTGTACGGGCAATTTAGAGTCGCCAGTCAACCTAAGCTGCATGTCTTTTGTGTGTGGGAAGAAGCCGGAGCACCCGGAGAGAACCCATGCAGGCACGAGGAGAACATACAAATTCCACACAGAAAGGCATCGGGTCAGCCCAGGCTCAAACCCGGAACCTTCCTGCTGTGAGGCAACAACACTATCCACTGCTCCCCTGTGCTGCCCAGCCTGTCAAATATAAAACAGCTTTCCTTCTTTTATCACAAAGCTAGCTTCACAACTATAAAGGCCATTAGCTTAGCCAGTTAGCTTCACAACGGCTTACCCTGGACAGGTCACCAGTATATAACAGGGCTGACATAGAAAACCACCAGGACTCACTCCTACAGGCAATTTAGAGTCGCCAATCAACCTAAGCTGCATGTCTTTTGTGTGTGGGAAGAAGCCGGAGCACCCGGAGAGAACCCCTCGCAAGCAGGGGAGAACATACAAACTCCACACAGAAAGAGACCAGGTCGGCCCGAGCTCAAACCCAGAACCTTCCTGCTGTGAGGCAACAGCACTATCCACTGCTCTCCGGTGCAATATAAAACATTTTCTCTTCTTTTATGACGTCCATCCATATCTATATAACAGTCCTACAGAAAATTATTGTCCATTATGATCACTTAAATAAAGCGGTCACAATAGCCGCACCTGCAATGAAGACACCAGAAACCACACCTACTATTACGAGGTTCTGTGGAAAAAAAAACAACAACCCTGAACCTCAGCAAATGGAGTCTTGGCCACAACACCTGGGCAGGCATAGCAGGCTTACCCAGCTTTGGCAAGCGGAGCCTAGGCAGTCTGAACCTGGGCAGTCTGAGGCCGGGCCTCGGCAGCGGATCCTCAGCAGGCAGCTGGGCATATATGTTTATAAGGGCCGTATCAATCTCCCTCAGTCTTGTTCTGGCATCAGTAAGATCTGCTGTGATTTGATCCAATAAGTCCACAACCTTATGAAAATTTTTTGGCACTGGTTGAGGCACCCTGTCCCCATTCTGTGGGGCATCTCCATAATTGTTGAACTGTGCCATTGTAACTTACGATAACTGTTCTGTATAATACTTTTCTGAAACAATAGAAGACTAACCCTTAATGTAGCTTTTCTTTCACCAAATGATGACGTCATTATGACGTAATGTCCTTTGAAGTTTTTGTGATGGTAATGCACCTAAAGCTGGTTGCCAACGGCCATTAAAAACAGAAAAAGAAGAAGAAGAGATGCAACCCGAAGTCGAGGCTTATCTTTCTTTGATGTTCGCCATTTAGTACAGGCTGTCAACTTAACCTGACATTCGACCTTTGCTCAAGGATGTAGTTGGTAGGTAAAACTAAGAAGACGGTAAATTTGTAAAGTAACATTACTAAGATGTCAATGATAATTCTTACTCTGAACGTGAACTGAAAACAATAATGTTAGCTGACGGCATTATTAAACTTAGTTCAAACAAGCTATCCTACAGTAGGTATCGTTAGCTAGCTCGAGCTGTAAAATTCGTGTGGTGCCACATATGATGTTGAATAGGTAAGTTGCCCAGCTGTCACTATTGCTGATAACATTAGCCAAATAGCATTAATGTAGGAACATTACTAGTGGAAACTGTATCAGCTTGCTAGCTCGTGCACAAACTTTCCCGCATTGCAATCTAGCTTAGCTCGCACCTGGGGTATGTAGGGCCCAATATGCTGTTTGCTGTGTCTATTTAACGTCTTTTTGTAGCTTTAAGTTGTTGGAAGATGCATGTGTGTAGGTGTTTTGGCTATATGTATCACTAGAGCGCTTATTTTTTTCCCATTAGACAAAATTTATAGAACGTTAACGTTACACAATAACGTTGTGGAGTTGTTATGCTCCACCACCTTGTCCTGCCCTGCAATGTGCTCATCTAATTTGTGCTGTAGTACCCTGTGCAAATGATCTTCTGTGGCAATTCATGTTTATAATGTACATTTTATAAATGTTTTCTTATGGCTGTGCGGTTATTTTGATAAAGTAACTGTAGTGGTGTGGGGGTCAGAGTCAATGATAATGAACTTTACTTAGGCTAACTGTCTCAAGCACATAACATAGCAATAACTACCGCCAGAACTGACTGCCCATAATACTGTTCCACCGTCAGTCCCCGCGCTGGCCTAGAGCGTTACCCAGTGGCACAATATAGAATAGAACATGACAATAATTATGTGTATCAGTAGGAGGACAAGGAGCACGGTAAAATGGCAGGTAGTTTTGTTGGAGGGTGAGTGTGTGTAAGCTAGCAAGGATGCTGTGTTGGCTGTATGTACTGTAATTCCACTCATGTTAACTAGTATCCTTTTGTTTTGTTACATGTAGTCTGAAGAAATCTGTACTACAGTAGTGTGCATTGCAGTTTCTACACTATGGCTAAGCATGCTTAAATTTTTGGTGGTTAAAGGTTAAGTTAAATATGCCTACTTGCAGTATCCTATCAGCACTTGTCATTTCATCAGGCTGTTGATCGTTTAACAGGATGTTAATAGTTTCTTTTTTCATCCTTCTGTATGTTCACACTTCCTACTTCAGGTATGAAAACCATGCTGGCACCATCAATCGTGGATCCGTTTCCATGTTTGAGGGACTGTCATGGCACAAGCTATGTAAGTAAAGCTGCTAACCTTCAGAATGAGGCTTACATAGCTGTCAGCTGATGATTCCATCATTGGCTTAGCTGAATCCTTATGTTAGCTATTATTGTCAACTCTTAATTTCAGGGTTGCTGCTGGTTCTGTCATTTCCTAATGTGTTTATAAAAACATTTTTTGTTTACTTTTTCAACTTTAGGATGCATGGTTCATCCCAAGGAGGAGGCATAAACCTGCAGCAGGGTTCCTGGAGGAGTGCCTTCGCAATGTCTGCAGAAGGCTACGTTGTGGCAGGCGGGTGAATTTAATATCACAAATGCCACAAGAAACCCCAGCCATTTTCCTGGATACAACAAGATGTTGCCCTTTCATCCACAGTCCAATTCATGCCAGTGTGTTAAGGAGTTTATATAACTCACTGTCTGTCCTGGTCAAACAGTTAATTGGTGGAGTTTCTCTAATTAATTAAAGTGCCAAAATGACAAGCAAATTGTCATGTCGGAAGTGGGCCTGGGCAACCAACAGTTCTGATGGTTTATACCTGATCTGTAAACCATATGCAAATTGTGTTATAACTATTTTTAACACATTAATAACCTTCTATAGTAAATTGCTTTTAAATTGTGCCTTACTAGAAAGTGGTGCTCAGTTTTATGGCAGTTTGATTTCGCCGGCTTTCCGAAGAAAGGTGGAGTAGTCACGTTATCAAAGATTGCCCCAGTGGAGTTCCTAGAATAAACAAAACAAATGACAGCTGACAAGTGGATGTGGTTACCGTTTCCTGCCACTCATTTCGATCTACTGCAGTCTTATTTTAAAAATATGAGCAACAATACAAAAAGCTTGGATCCGCTGGTGGGTTAATTACTAAGACAGCGTAACAAGCTAACAGCTATGGATTAGCCTAGCTTACTCTTGCTAGAGCATCTTCGGTTGTGTAGCTCAGCAGAGTTCATCAGC